AAAGGAGCTTTATCTTGAAACGGATACTGTTGGATTGTGTGAATAAGTCTTCGAGCTTGGGAATCCGATGAACATGTGCTGAGATTTCGTCTTTTATGTGAAATATATGCTTTTTAGCGGGAAATTATAATGCACGAAATACCAAAATAATATACTAAGCCGAGGAGAAAAGAGGCCAATGCACAACTTCTACAGGCTTGCCGATAAGCGAAATTATAGCGTGAGGAAGAAGTGGATGTGATCACAGCTATTCCCTTAGATAAATAAATCAACGTAAGATCATACGATCATGCATACCATGTTCAAATCATGTAATGTATGAATGCCCTTATCTGACACGAAGGTGAACAGTGTGAAAGAGAATTGGCAGAAAGGTTAAAAGGAGAAGGAAGATTAAAAGAGATGTGATTAAAGCCGACAGAATAAAATTTAAAAAAGAGAGGACTGAGGAAGAATAGAGGGAAAAATGAAGTGACAATAGGAATAAAGGATAAGGCATATATTGATGTGTTTAAAAGGAGGCATAATTACAAAGAATAGAGTAAATCAAATGGGAGCACAGAAGGAATCAGGAAGATGAAGACAAAGAGGATGGAAAGATGATTATGATGATGAGCAAAATAAGAATTGGGAAGAGAAGGCAGAAGGAGGAGGACGATGCTTATGTTCAAAATGATGAAAAAAGAAAATAATTCAATGATGGAATATAAGGACTATACATAACAATTTAATTCCAATAAGATAAATAGTGATTCAGGCGACGCCAAAGTAGTTGCCAATGACAACAAGGAAGAAGAATGAGAGGAGGAGGAGTTAGTGAAGTCTTATACGTTTACGCCTATTAATTTGATGATAATGATGATGTACAGCAGAGTTACGCGTACATATATTCGAGCTGATTATAAATCATTTGTACCAAATAATGTTGATATTGTGACAGTTAGTGGAGGAGCAAGCCTCTCGTTTCTCGTTTTTCCTTAGCTTCAATTAGTCAGCTTCACTAACACAGGTTCACTGCCACAGGGTGGAAGAATTTTTCAACCATTTTAATTATTGGTACAGCATAGCCATAGCATTAGTTGACAAATTTGCTGTTTCGTTTGGGGGGAGATATGGTGACCTCATAAGGCAAGTCAATAGGTCACTTCATTTTGTCCTTGTCCCATACAAATTTGCCTTATTTAAATATACCAAATGTCATGCCATCATTCATAAATTTAATTTAAGTTATAGCCTCCCTAGATTGCATAATGCGATAAGGGAGAAATATTTTTATTTTCCCACAATCAAATGACGCCATTAATATGATTTCATTTTGTGAGAATGAAAATATCAGTCCCTCATCACGTTATGCAACCTGGGGTGGTCATAACTTCAATTAAAGTTATGGATGTTGGCATGGCAAGTGGTATATTTAAGAATGGGCTTTGGCGATGCTTTATAAATAATTAGAATTGTTGAAAAATTCTATCACGTGTTGACAGTGGACCTGTCTCAGTGAAACTGGCTAAATGGAGCTTGGAGAAATTCAGCCATCACTCCCTCATAATCGAGTGAGAATACTGCTCTTTTTCCAGATTTACTGCCCAGTCTCGAAATCTACTAAATGTGAATATAAATTTGTCATCGTTGCCATGTAAATAGCTACAATTTGGTTAGGTTGTACAAATAATTGTTCATTTTTCTTTGTTAAATAAGTCTTCTTGACTGGCAATAAATCAGATACAAGATGGCTGTTCACTCTGTTTCGTTCAAAAATGCAATGCTGTACCTGCTGCCTGGAATGTGGACTCTTCGGTCGGGGCGAGAGGATGCAGAAATGGCCACATTCAATCGTGCTGCTGGGCGATCTTGCTCATCTGCCCACGGAAGGCCTGGCTCACATCGTCATCGCTTGTCTCCCGATTGTCGCCACTCTCCCTCGGGAGGAAAGACGAGTTCTCCGCCCTCTTCATCCCGACCTTGCTGGGCCGACTTCGTCTTGTTAGGCTCACGCAATTTTCATCATCCCCCGGGAGAATAGGCTGATCACGATAATTAATCTACCACTTTTCACTTTTAGTCGGTAGTCATGGCGAAATTGGCCACTTTTCTCACTTGCAAGTCGATATTTCGCCTCATTTTTACGTCAACTTGGATTAATTATTTTTCGTGTTTTTTAGTAGATTTTCGAGACTGCCAGTAAATCAGTAGTATGAGATATATTCACCCTATTTCGTTTAAAGTGAAGAAGGTTTTGTAGTAGAATTTACTCACAATGCCATGAGTAGAGCTGACGATTCCATTGAATTTCACATTGCCTAGCTTTCGCAAAAGTTGTTCTCATCCCGGCTGGAGTGGACTGCAGTTTCGGCCTCGCATCGGTCGTATCAACACCTCCAGCGGGAGTCGAAATTCAATGAAAACTTCAGCTCTACTCATATCATTGTGAGTAAATTCTACTGACAGTTCTTAATCACTTTAAACGAAATAGGGTGAATACATGTCGTATTATTGGATTAATTAAGCTAACAAAGTTGATGGTAGAATTGCTATTGGTTGCTTCTCACTCTTTGCTTCCAGCCTTGATTGATAAGCCTATCAGGCAAAACACATCTTTAACATTTTTTTCATTTTAATCTCACATACTACGCTTCGTCAAACATTCCGACTGTCTCGAAACTGTCGCATTAATCAAATCACTTTATACCTTAACAGAGAGGTCAGTATGTATACAGCATTTGAGGGATAAGTCGGTAAGTCTTCTTAACTCGTCAATAGAATGTGGTTGGAAGGATGAAACCCTCTCTGTTCTGGTGATGTTCGTCATACGACGGAGGAAGGCTTAGCACTTTTTCACTGGAATCGAACGAGACTACTTCGGTACCAGCATCAAAATGAATGTTCCAGAAAAGCCAATCGACAGCTGGTCAAGAGCAATCCGGCGTCGGCTTCTGGTGGAACCGACCTTCGAATCTCTTCAGGCAACAATTTCATTTGAAATGGAA